ACGTTACTATCAATGTGCAAAAGAGCCTGACAGAGGAGTGTTTTTGGGTACATGTCCTCTACTCTGTGAGACATTTAGTCCTCATTCTTCTGTAATAATTATTATTCATGCCACGTTAAAACAAACAAGCAAGGAAAAAACATGTTTCTTGAAGTCACCTATTAGATGGAAAGTGTGAAAGAGAAGAGGAAAGAGGTAAGGAACAGACTACAGGTATTTGTAAACTTTCTTCTAGGAGTTAAAACCTTAAATGACCCTTAAAGGAGACTATTTTGAGACTCTGACAGGTCTTTCTCTGATAACATAATAATAACAACTCTCCCCTCTCATTAGCATAGTGTTTTAGAGTTGGAGAAGTACAGTAAAATATCATTTGATCCTCACACCAACCTAGGAAGTATGATCACCATTTTATAGATAAGAAAACTAAAGTTTGGAGAGGTTATGCATCAGTTGCCCAAGATTGTATAGCTAGTTAACTGATAAAACTTTTTGAATTATGTTCCCCAGACTCTCAGTTCTTTTGTTGTCTCTCAAATTGCAAAACCACAAATGTTTAACTTGAACATGGTAAGTATTCTGGCTTTATCTTCAAGGTTCTTTGAATAGGGTTGTCCTATTTGCAATTCAATTTAAGTAAACAAATACATATTGAGTTTCTATTAAGCTTCAATGACTACAAAGATGACAAATACAATCCTTGCACAAAATAGCCTCCTTATCTAATGGAAGAAGATGCATAAACCATGAACTACAATCCCAGTTACTCTCTTGCTTGATTAACTATGCCTTCCTGAGAATGTGTAAATGTGCAAACACAACTACTGAACCGCACACTTCAAATACATAAATTGTATGTGAATTATATCTCAGTAAAACTGCTATTTATAAAGTCAAACAAATAAAAAATTCTTATTAAGAAGAGATTCTTGCCTCCAAAAATCACAGAATTATTAATTACCCACTGATCTTGGATCACTTTTTGATGATACAACTTTAGCATTTTGGGTTCCTGTTTTTGTATTGAGTATGAAATTATTAACCTCTAATCAATAAGTATCTGATCAAAGTTACAGATGTTTTATTTATGGCATTCCTAATTTCATTTTTCTAATTATGTTAAAATTTTGAAGTTTATTTATATTATTTAAAGAAATTAATTTTTTAAAAATTGAAGTGTATTGATTGTACATATTTACGGGGTACAGAGTTATATTTCAAAGCATGTATATAATGTGCGATGGTCAAATAAGGGTAGTTAGCATATTCATCATCACAAAAATTTATTGGTTTGTTATGAGAACATTCAAACTCCTCTCTTCTAGCCATACAATAAATTATTGTTAAACATAGATACCTAGGACTACTGTACACCAATAGAACTTATTTTTTCTATCTAGCTGTAATTGTATGTTCATTAACCAACCTCTCACTGTCCCCATGTCCCCTCTCCTTCCCAGCCTCTAGTAATCACAATGCAACTTTCTTTTTTTTTTTTTTTTTTTTGTCCGGCAACG